ACATTTTAGATCAGGGTTGCCATATTACTATTTCGCATTCCTCAACACCTCCCTTTGTTAGGAAGTATCATACTCATTCAAATATGCTGGTGGTCTACGAATCCTGCGACTCGTTGATGTTCCTCTATTCGTTCCTGCATGTGCATTAGAACCCGATGAGGTGGTTTCCACTAGGGGAGCCACTTCAACAGTTTCTGGCTGTAGTACGGGTTGATTTTCTTCATTGAACCGTGGTAGTTCTGTGAGATCAAAAACGTCGCATAAATATTTAGTCACATCGCGATTGCTAGTATGGTTTCCATAACGTTTTACCATTTTATTTGCATGTGATCTAATCAGTTTTGAGTTGCCCTTTACTTCAATTCTGACATTGTAGTTCACAGAACCAATCCGTTCTATGATAACGCCAGGAACCCAAAACGTATCATTGCCTTGATGCCATTTAACGTTTACAAGGTCTCCATTCAAAAATTCTCTAGATTTTGCTCCGTGTTTCACATTAAACTGCTTTTCTTGTTTTAAATTTCGTTGTTTGATTTCCGTTGTTTGTGGCTTAGTTAAGTCTAACGTTGTTTTGATTTTCCGGTTAAGGAAGGCTTCTGCCGGAGATTTACGTTCTACCACATTCGGATTTGGTGTGGATCTATACGTTTGCAAAAATGTTTGCAAGTTTTCTGAATCCGTTCCTTCCATTTTTAATTTTTTTAATGCCCTTTTCAGTGTATCTACGAACCGTTCCGCTTGTCCATTGGACTGGGGATGATAAGGCGATGTCCTTATGTGTTGAATACCCCGCGATGTTACGAATTGTTCGAACGCTCCGCTCGTAAATTGTGTGCCGTTATCAGAGACCAGTGTGTCACAATCTCCGTAACGTGAAAGCGTTTCATTTAGCTTGCTAATGATTGTTTGCGTTGTGATATTCTCTATTTGAAAAATTTCAGGCCATTTTGAGAATGCATCTACGATTACGAAGTAATAAAAACCATTGCATGGTCCTGCTATATCTATGTGTAACCGTTCCATTGGTTTTGTTGCTAACGGCCATGATCGTAGTGTATGTTTTACAGGCATTTTTGCTGCTGATGCACAAAGTTGACAATTTCGTGAATACGAGACTATATCTTCGTCCACACCAGGCCAATACACGTAACTCCTTGCTAACAATTTCATTCGTTCTCTACCTGGATGTCCTCTGTGTAATCGACGTAAAATTCGTGGTTGTAATTTCTTCGGAATCACTATGCGTTCATGAAACATTAGGCACTCTTGAATCACGCTGAGTGCATCTTTCCGTGCATAAAATGGCTGTAATTCTGGTGTTATTTCTTGCTTCCATCCATTTGATAATGCGTTTATGACAGCTTGGGCCGTTGAACATTGCTTTGTAGCTTTTCTTATCATTTCAAAACTCACCGGAAGTTTTTCACATTGGTCTTCAATAATCGTGTTCATTTCTTCTTCCATTTGCGTACAAGCTATCACCATGTCTTCGTCTTGCTTTGTGTGATTGGCTATAAGGCGCGAAAGCATGTCTACACATCCAAATTCTGTTGTTTTAATGTATTGGATATTGAAGTCGTACATCATCAATATTAGTGCCCATCGCTGAAGCCTATTTGCTGCGTACGTTGGGATGCCCTTATTTTTACCAAATATTGCGATTAGCGGCCTATGATCCGTGCACAATGTGAACTTACGTCCAAAAATAAATCTGTGGAACTTCTTTAGCGCAAAAACTAATGCTAAAGCTTCCTTTTCAATTTGCGAGTACTTTTGCTCTGCATCCGTTAAAGCTTTTGAGGCGTGTTGTATAACCTTCTCTGATCCGTCCGGAAAAACGTGACAAATAAACGCACCGATTCCTCTATTGGAGGCGTCTGCTGCCACTTTCAATGGTAAATTGGGGTTATAATGCGTAAGCATTAAATCTGAATTTAAAATGCGTTTGAATTGCTGGAAGGCTTTTTTGCAATCAGCGTTCCAATTAAACTTTTCATTTTTATGAAGCAATTTGTCCAAAGGTGCTCTGATTTTGGACATTTCTGCGATGAATTTTCCATAATAATTTACACTGCCCAGAAATGCTCTGACTTCTGAAATATTTTTGGGTTCTGGTAGTGCTAGAATCTTGCTTATTTTGGTGGGGTCAGGTTTTATACCTGTTTCGCTTAAAATGTTTCCCAAATATTTTACCTGTGCAGCAAAAAATTTGCATTTGTCGAACTGGACCCGAAATTTATACTTCTGTAGCTGTTGCGCCACTTTATGAAGGTTTTCGACATGTTTCCTAAAGGTTGCACCGCCTATCATGATGTCATCTATGTAAGCGACGGTGTCATCTATGCCTGCCAATATGGTGTCCATGATTTGTTGGAACGCTCCTGGAGCGCTTTTGATACCTGGTGCGAGTCGATTGAACGTAAACAGACCCATATGCGTGTTAATGGTGAGCAGCTTGGCTGACTCTGCTGTGACGGGTACCTGTAGATACGCGTCTGATAGGTCTATTACGGTAAAACAATGACTTCCCGCGACCTTTGCGTAAATTTCTTCTGGCGTGTGCAGCGGATATTGATGGGGCTCTAACCATGCGTTCAGCCCTGATGAATAATCACCACAGATCCGAACCTTGCCAGACGGTTTCTTCACTGCGACGATAGGCGCTGCCCATTCAGAAAATTCTACAGGGGTGATAACCCCTAATTGATGTAATCTCTTTAGTTCTTCTTCAATATATGGTAGCATGGAATATGCTACTGGCCTTTTTGCGCGAAAAATTGGTTTAGCATCCGGCTTTAGATGCAATGCTGATGTAACTGTGCTACAACTTTCCAGATTTGGCTTGAATATGTCCGCATAGTCTTGCTGTATATGCTTCAAAATAGTAGATTGTTGATCTTGAACCGATATGATGTTGTTACAAATGAGATTGAGAGGCTTTTCCCAAATATGGAAAATGTCACACCAGTCAACACCTAAGATGTTCAAAGAATCAATATTTGTTACGAATAAATTACAGTATTGTACTTCCCCGTTTAGCCTAGCTTCACAAGAAAATTCGGCTAATAGTTGAATCTTATCTTTTGATGCGCTGGTAACGTATTTGTTCTCCAACCGTATTCCCGGTTGACCCATTTGTATCCATGTGGACTTTCCAATTAGCGAGACGTCCGAGGCGGTGTCCACCTGCATTCTGACATCACACGACGGAAACGATGAAGTTGCGGTTTCTATCGGCTTTATGCTTACTGTTGTGTATTTGCGTCGATTAACATGCGTTATTGAATTTACTTGTAAGCAACTGTTGTGACCTTTGTTGCTCGTTTGTTGTTGCTTGTGTCGCTGAGGTTTTGTGCTTTTGCTTTTGCTGGCGCTGTATGAATTACAGTACCCCTCCTTATGACCGTATTTGTTGCACTTGTTACACTTTTGATTGCGATATGTACAATATTTTGCATAGTGCATGTCTCCGCAATTCCAACAGGGTGTTTTTGGAATCTTCGCTTTATTTGTTTTGCTATTTTTAGTTGCATCGTTCTTGCTTTGGCGTGTATTTGCATGTATTGCGTTGGTTATTACGGCTTTTGTCTCTTCCACCATTGCTGTATCTTTCTTTAGATACATGGCATGGCGCATGGCTTACCAGAGAGTTTAATGTTTGCTTTGAATCTTCTTCTAGTTTTGCCAATATTTTTATACGAATGTCGGCTTCTGTGTGTGCTTGCAACCCAAATACATAGATGAGGCATTTGAATTGATCTGCCGAAAGTTCCGACAGTCTAAATTTTTCACATTGAGCATTGACCCTGGCTGCATACGATACCAGGTCTTCCTGTTGATTCTTACTAATTTGCAAACATTTGTATCTTATACTGAAGAGCGATTCATTTGCACCGAACATTTCTCCCAGCTTGGAGACTGTTTCTTCGAATGTGAAATCTCGTGGATTTTTTGGTAAAATATATGTTGCATACTTGTTATACGCAATTGGATTTAGCTTCCTCATTAAGAGGCGAACACGTGATGCTTCGTCCAAATCTTTTCCATCGACCAAGAAAACGTCTTCGTGACGTGCATACCACGTGTCGAATGTGAGTGCGTTTGTGGCATCATAGCAAAATTCTGCTATGCTTTTTGCCAATGACTCCATCAACTGTTCCTTTGAATTTTCTACTGGCTGCTTTGATCTTTGAGTCAATTGCTCCAGTAATTTGCTTTGCATCTGCAACAGTTTCATAAGTTCCTCTTGTTCTGGCATTTTCGCTTATGTTCCTACTTTGCAGTTTTGTAGGTTATGAGACCAATTTCCTCGTCGCCACCTGTTGTAATGTGTGGTATGATCCACCTGTTATACTCTCTAGTATGTGCCAAAATACCGACACCACGCTTATATGTTTACTTCAGAACGTTTATTACTTCTAATCAGTTAACAATATTAAATGCTATACCAAATACAATTCAATTAAAGTGTTTAATTAATTCAGCTTATTACGATCGACTTGTGCAAAATGTAAAATCAGAAAAAGAGCAACGTGCTAGTCTGTCATCTCAATTATAGTGCTTTGACATTTTAGATCAGGGTTGCCATATTACTATTTCGCATTCCTCAACAAAAACAGAAATAATGCATATAACAAAAACCGAAATAATGCATGCATGCACAGTTTCGGTTGAAAACCGAAATAATGCATATGAGAAAATACCGAAATTATGCATATGCATACTTTCGTTTTAAAAGCGAAATAATGCATATGAAAAAAAAAACGAAGTAATGCATACATGCACAGTTTCGGTTTAAAACCGAAATAAAGCATATGGTAAAAACCGAAATAAAGCATACATGCACAGTTTCGGTTGAAACCGAAATAATGTCTAAATGCACAGTTTCCATATGCGCAATTTCGGTGCCCCAATGTCCTCAAGTCGCTGGCCGGCAGCACTTGGGGCAAAGATAAAGAAACGTTGTTGGCAACATACAAGGCAATTGGCCGGCCGGTTCTAAACTATGCAGCGCCCGTATGGTCGCCGGGGACTAGCAGGATGCAGTGGATGAAGCTACAGACCTGCCAAAACACGGCATTACGAACAGCGACAGGATGCCTCCTGATGGCGCCCCAACAACACCTACATGACGAGGCCCAAATGCTACCAGTAAAGGAGCATAACATAATGCTCTGCAAGCAGTTCCCGAACGGAGACCCGCACTACAATAGCCGAACTTCGCTCTGGCTATTGCAGCAGGCTCAACTCTTACCTGAGTAGAATCAACGAGGATGTGCCCAACCAATACCCGGCATGTGGAGAGTCGCCACATGACTCCCGGCACCTCTTCACATGCTCTGAGTACCCCACTCAGCTAACGCCCCTGTTCCTATGGACAGCCCCTGTGGAAGTCGCACACTTCCTGGGCCTCCCCCTAGCGTAAATCGACGACAACGTTGATGTATGAACTGCCCCGAACGAGGCTTAATAGCCGCTACAACAACAACCACAGAACACACACAACCGCACCACTGGTGCCACTTTAGGGCATGCTCAGGTCTGCGCACCACGCGAGATTGGATGAGGAACTTCGAGGGCCCGTGTTGCGCTGCTCGGTCGCAGATCTCAACTGCGACGCGTCGCGCCATCACCACAGGGCGGCAACCACCTCAGCAGCGCACACAGCCAATGGCATCACGACCACACACATCCCTCACACCCCGCATCACCCCACGTCTCCCAAATCACATGAAGCTCCTTCAATTTAACTGTAACGGGTTTCAGAGCAGGATCAAGGAGATAACCGTCTTCATGGGAAGGCTTGGCATATTGATTGCTGCGGTCCAAGAGACGAAGTTGCACAGCAATTCAACACTGTGGAATTGTGCCGGCTACAACGTGCACCGTCAAGATCGCGAGCGAGATAATGGTGGTGGCTTGGCGTTCATCACGCACCACACAGTATCGTCTTATCAAAGCAGACATCGACCGCAGGGATACCACCCTAGATAGTCAGGGCATTGCTATCCGGTCAGGCGATGTTGATCTCGAAATATTTAACGTTTATATACCCCCTGTCACCTGCTGCCCGGCAGGATATCACCCTGACATAGGTGCGCTCCTCAGAGGTGAAAACCGTATGGTAGTAGGTAACTTTAAAGCGCACCACGATCTTTGGCACTCAAGCCTGTCAAACGATCGTAGGGGAACTGACTTGGCTGAGCAGATAGACGATTCGACATTCTGCATAATAAACGACGACGCGCCCACCAGGATTATGGGCAGCTGCTGCAGCTCGCCAGAGATAACAATAGTCCATAGCAGACCATCTGCCCATAGTCATCTCGATCGATAAACCAACCGACTTTGCTTCCGCGGAACACCGGACCTATATCAACATTTCTAAAGCTGATTGGAAAGGCTTCGCGGAATTTACTGAAAACACCTTTGCTGCTCTCCCCACACCAACTGACGTCCACCTTGGTGAACGTAAGTTCCGCAGGGCTGTCACCGCTGCTGCAGCTCGCTTCGTACCGGTAGGATGTATTACGGACCCACGTCCAAATTTCCCTGCTGAAGCGCCTGTTCTAGCATATGAGCGTGATAGCCTTCGGCAGGCCGCTCCAGGAGATCCCCGTATCAGGGATCTCAACGCGAAGATTCGACACCAGTGAACGTACATAAGCGGAAGAAGTGGGAAGAGCATCTGAAGACCTGCAACTTCACCTCTGGTGTGAGTAAGCTTTGGTCAACCGTGAGGTCAATATCCTATCCGACGAAGCACGACGACAGAGTCGAAATTTCTTTCGGCGACCATGCTTCGTCGGACCCGGAGCGATGCGCGAGCTATTTTAGCCGGCAGTTCATACTGCATCCTCCGCTGGACAAACCCAAGCGTCGAGTGACCAGAAGGCTGCACAAACTGCCAACAACCTGTGCTCCCCTTGCTTTCAGTTGCGGTGAAGTTCAGGTGGCCATCGGGACGGCGAAAGCCGCCAAAGCCATGGGTCCCGACGGAATATGCACGTACCCAACGGAGGTCCTCAATTTGTCTATGGCCACTCTCATCATCCCAGACATCTGGAAGGTGGGGAGAGTGGTCCCACTGCTCAAACCAGGGAAACCTGCCAACAAAGGAGATTCGTATCGGCCGTAACACTCCTTTCCCCTGTAGCGAAGACACTCGAGGCCTTGCTGCTCCCGTATTTCACAAACCACCTGACCCCAGCGAAGCATCAGCATGGTTTCCGTAAAGTGCACAGTACAACAACGGCACTTAACGCCATAAATACTCAGATAACTCGTGGCCTTAACCGTAACCGGCCCTGTGAGAGAACGATTCTAGTAGCGTTGGACTTGTCAAAGGCGTTTGACACCGCTGCTAGAAGATATAGAGGCTTCCCCTCTCCCTCAGAGGCTCAAACGGTGGTCTGCAAATTATCTGAGTGGTCGACAATCGTCGGTAATGTTTAGGGACAAATTGAGTAAACTCAGAAAAATAAAACAGGGGGTTCCACAGGATGGTGTCCTTTCCCCGCTACAGTTTAACTTTTACATATCGAACCTCAACCACCAGAGGGAGTCTCGATTGTCTCGATTGCTCGATCATGGCGACTGGGAATGGAATTGATGACCTGTGTTCGAAAGTAAACGGATATCTCTCCGAACTTTCTCGGTTCTTCACTGCAAAATGTCTAGCCCTCTCCCCTACGAAATCCTCTGCGACCCTTTTCACCACCTGGACGAAGGAGGTCAGGCTACCGCTGGGGATTCACGTCGATGACACACCAATTCCGACGGTGAATAACCCCTAAATACTCGGAGTAACATTCGACAGCCTGCTCTCCTTCTCTGCGCACTCAACCGCTATTGTCAATAAAGTACAGAGCCGCAACAAGGTCCTCAAGTCGCTATCCGGCAGTACTTGGGGCGAAGACAAAGAAACGTTGCTGGCAACATACAAGGCAATAGGCCGGCCGGTTTTGAACTACGCAGCGCCAGTGTGGTCGCCAGGGACTAGTAGGATGCAGTGGACGAAGCTACAGACTGTACAGAACACCGCACTCAGGACAGCGACAGGATGCCTCTTGATGTCGCCTGAACACCACCTGCACGGCGAGGCGCAAATGCTCCCTGTAAAGGAGCATAATATAATGCTCTGCAAGCAGTTCCTGATCGGGAGCCACAGAAGTGGGCACCCAAGCAGACAGCTGCTTGCAGAGGAGCCCTCGCCTAGGCACGTCAGGAGGCATCTATATGAACTGACGGACGAAGTCTAGAGGTTCATTAAGCAACCTCTGGACCCGACAGCTTACAGACAGGCCCTGAACGGCATTCACAGGGACTCAGTCTCGAGTTATGTAGACTCTAGACCTGTGAATGCCGTTCTAGGCATACCACCCCCGGACATAGAGGAGACGGAGCTTCATCTGCCTCGGGAGACACGCACAACACTCGCACA